AACCACCGCCGCCGCGTTCTCGCATTTTGATGACGTTCACATGCAGTAAAAAGGGGAAACGTGAGAAGAGCGGCCGCTGAAGTTCTTCTTATCTGAGGAGGAGGAGGGTTCCATTTGAAACAACTCTCCGAGGCCCCCTACAGTTGAGGAGGAGGAACCGTTCCCTTCATCCAATCCGTGGTTCCTTCCGTCCCTCCCTGTTCTCTCCTCAGCAGCTGCTGCAGCCCCAGCCCCGGGCCGCACCGCCGCCGTCATTGGCGGCCCTGCTCAGACTGATGGGTGCCCCCGGTGGCTGGCTCAGCACCAGAGGCTTCTGAGACTTCAGCTTGTGGGCCACCGTCATAAAAATGGCTTCTACGTGGTCACTGTTTCCGCTGCTCGCGTCTCCTTGGCTGTTTGGGTTTTTGGCAGAGGTCTCAAACAGGGGCATGGAGTGGGTGTCCGCGAACTGCTGAGCCACGTCTGTGCCCACCTGGACGGAGTCTTGGAGATCGCACTTGTTTCCAACCAAGATCCTCGGCACCTCCGTACCCAGAGCGTGCTGCCTGCACTCCTCGATCCAAGCAGGGAGACTGTGGAAGCTGGCGGCGTTGGTGACATCGTAGACGAAGACGACGGCGTGCACGTTACGGTAGTAGTGCTGAACCATGGACTTCTGTCCCGCAGTGTCCCACAGCTGAATCTGGGACCAGAGGACACAAACGCTTTAGGATTATGGACAAGTGTGTCTTAGACCACAGACCAGAGTCACTGACAGCCCCTCCCCCACACACCTACCTGGTAAAGGGAAAGCTAAATTAAAAAAGAAACTACCGTGGCCTACCACTAAAGGTCCGCGTACCTCTGGTTGACACACGCACCTTGATATTCTCTCCATCTATGTCCACCAGCCTCTCCCTGAAGTCTACGCCGATTGTGGCCTCGGTTTTCTCGGGGAACTTGCCGGCGCAGAAGCGGTAGGTGAGACACGTCTTCCCGACCCCCGAGTCTCCGATGACTATGATCTTGAAGATCCGTGTCCTCGGAGGTGGTAGGCTGGAGTTCGGCAGAGAGCCGGAGAACTCCGTGACCGAGCCGCTCTCCGCCATGACTCCGCTGACCACCGGGCTGTGGCAGAGGAAGAGATGCAGCGGGCCCGGGGTGGTGGTGTCGGTGGTGTCGGTGGACGTTCCCCGGCGGAGACACACGGAGAGGCGGACTCCGGCCACAGCTACTGCTGCTGTAGCTCAGCTGCTGTGTAATAAACGCCGTTTGCTGAAATAAAGGCCAAAAAATG